TCTGCCTGAAATACCTTTCTCTTTAAGAGTCCCCTGGAAAACTTCCCGTTCATCTTTCTAGACTCCATGACTCCTTCCAGAAGCCTCTCTAACTCTTCCCCTCACCCCAGGGCCAAAACTAAGGTTGGGCAAGCAGGGCACCTAGGTAGAACATTTAAGGAGGTGCTTCCACAATCTAAGTAGGGCCTCTTTAGATCTGGTGGCCCAGGTGCCTCACTGGTCTCCCCCTAGTGCCCACCTCCTCTGCTGCTGGATATTCTCCTTTTTCAAGTAATGCCCCTGTGTCAGTATGTGGCTGCAGGTCAGCAATACTTTATCTCTGCATGTGAGCGTTTTGGGGGTAGGACTATGCTTTATTCACTAGCGAAACCCAGCAGCCTGCTTTCTACTAAAACATTGATTGTGGCCTTCATGAAATAAAACTCTGTCCTGAGGAATTAATGTGTTGTTGTTTATCAAGCACCGTGCTATGTGCTAGGGATTCAAAGATGGCATAGTCCCTGCCCTGAGAAAAAATGAACACACCTATTCTATGCTCCCTGCTTTCCTACTTAGGACAGAAACCCCCCAGCTTGAAACACTGACTACCTGTGCAGCCGGTTGAAGCCATTCCCAGGCCCCCTCCCAGAGTCTCTGACTGCAGACTGCAGCAGAGTTCAGCGGTGCCACAATCAAACTCAGAGAAACATTTCTCCACTTTGTCCCTTCATCCACTTACTTATTTGTTCCTTTGACTATTATTGAATGCCTACTCTTTGTAAGCCGTTGTGCTAGGAGCTGTCAAGGAAACAAAGATAAATCTGGGAAGAATAATGTCTTATAGATGCCTATAGTTTATGAAATGTCTCCGTATGCACAATTTTGTTTGATCAGTGCGTTAAAGATGATCTCCCTTTTAGAGATAAGGCTTATTTGTTCCAAATCACACATAAGTAGGTAGTGGGGACTAGAATCAAGGTCACACAGTAAGTGATGGGGACTAGAATCAAGATCATATAGTAAGTAGTGAGGTTCAGGATCAAGGTCACACAGGAAATACAGACTAGGATCAAGGTCCCATATAAGTAATGTGAACTGGAATTAATGTTACATAGTAAGTAGTGGTGACTGGAATTGAGGTCACATAGTGAACAAGTACAGGGGACTAGGATCAAGGTCACATACTGAGTTTGTAGGGGTGACAGGAATTGATGTCAAACAGTGAGTAAGTAGGGGGAACTAGGATCAAGGTCAGACGGTGAGTATGTAGTGGGGACTGGAATGGAGGGGCACTTGGAATAAAACCAAGCTGTCTTCCAACTTGAAACAGAGTTTGTCCTAGAAAGATGACTCACAAGAATTTCATACCTCAGAACATGGGCCCAGCAGAAAGAAAGGGAGGGAGAAAGAAGGGGGATCCTGGTACCAGCTTGTGTAGATGAGAAGGGAGGGCCAGCTAATCTGTGGTTCCCAGCTAGCCTAAAGGCTGTTGCTTAATCCCAATGAACAGGGGCCCAAGGTGAGGTCACCTGCCTGTGTGCCTGGAGTGAGCTCTGGAAATCTCTGAACTTCCTCCACCTCCCTCCCTCCTACTCTTCCTCCCTTCCCTACCCTAAGGAACCCCTCTATCCCCACAAAGGAGGGATGTCCTGGCTTCTCCACTGCATAGCCCCTCTTTACCCTGTGGTCTCTTCTTCCCTGGATGATTGGTGGACTGGAGAACATGACTCACCTCACTCTCTGTGCCTCTCCCCCAGGCTTGCTCATTAGCCCAGAGACAGGGTTGGGGTAGAGGGGGAAGCAGTCAGCAATAAGCCGCCACCCCCACCCCCCAGGCCAGCTCTCACCTCTCCCCTCCCAGGGCTGGGCTCCCAAGGCTCTGAGACCAGGCTGTCAATTAAACAGACCTGACAGCTGACAGTTTTCTGGAACAGCCTGGTTAGCTTTCCTCCTCCTCTCTCTCTCTCTCTCTCTCTCTTTTTTTTTCTCTTGTTCCTTTCCCTTGTTGTTGTTGCAAGACTGAACGCCTGACTGGAATTTAAAGCAAGGCTTTGGGAGAAAAATGCACGCTAGCACCATGCCCTGCTCTCAGCTTCCTTCTCAGATTGGCAGCTGTCCACTGCCTGGGGTCTGAGAATAGGACACCTGCTAATTGTCAGAGGAGGGGTCTGGAGCAGCAAGGTAGGCTCAGACTGGCAGACACCCGACTAACCTGTCTGGGAGCTGAGCATGTTTTTATTTGGGGGCACAGAGGGGCAGCAGTTCTCCAGGGAAGTGCCTCTCACCTGCCCTCCAGGTCCGGAAGCCCCTTTGCTCTCTTGACGTCTGGGATGCCAGGAGGCTCCTATGCCTGCTGCTAATCCATCCTGCTCATGTTATCTGTCTGCTCCCCTATCAGTCCTTGCTTACTGCAGATACATAGATAAATAGATGGATAGATAAGAAGGAGGGACTCTAAAACGCTTAGATAAACTATCCTATTTACATCTCTGACTCCAATCTATCAATCCATCCGTCTGTCTGTTGTGTTTGTGCTCTCTCTCAATCTGCCACTTCAGTCCCCATTAACCATTCATCTGTTTTCCTCCTGCCCTACACTCTCCCCTCCCAGCCCCCATTTCCCAGCATTAAAATAAATCCGAAGCTGAGATACAATGAGGCATGTCCTTCCACTCCAGTTATTGCTGTCGTGGAAGAGTGGCCTTGGGGTCTGACACTGGTGGCTTCCTCTGACTCTCCTCCTCAGGAAATACGCAAATGTCCTTTGGAACACTTAGGGGCACCAAGGAGCAGGTCTTCGGCTGGGCTGGTCCTGAATTCACCGTTTTGCAAATAGAGCAAAAAGTTCCCTAATCTAAGTTCTTTTGGGGAAAGAGAAGAGGTGGGGATGGCAGTGGGCTGGGGGAGGGGGAGAAAGAAAGGCATTTACATTTTTTGTACACAAAACAGTTTTATCACTGTTCAAGTAATTTGAACCAACTGGATGAAGTGAGAGAGTGGGAGAAGAGGAAAAAAAGGTGGGAATTTTATGCATTTCATTATTAGTACTATGTGTTGACATTCAAACAGTTTCTTTCTTTAGATCCTCTGAACTTCAGATCTCACTACTCACAGCTATTTGGGGCTATTTTCAATGATTCATTCCCAGTAAATGGTGTGAAAATGCAGGATAGTAATTGTCTATACAAATATCAACGATTTAAAAGAAAGATAGAAAAAGACAAAAGCCCACCAGCCTCATCAAATCAAGATTCTTTTCTGCATGCTAGGCACCAAAGGAAGAAAAGAAAAAGAGTGTAGTATCTTGCCCTTTCCTTGGGGCCAGCAAACAGCTAATTTTGTTTGGTCAGAAAAACAGAGCAAATCCCAAACTTCCCATTGCCCTTATGAAGACTCCGCAATCCTATTCCCATCATCAATCCCAGGATCCAGTCCCAGCTGGTGGCCCTGAGACTTTCCTCTGGCGCCCACACATCCCTCTGTTGACTTCTGGATAAATGTGATCAAAGGAAGGCAGCATCGCTATCTAGAAACACAATAAGATACAATAGAACTTTGTTTAACATGAAAAATGTAAGCTCTGAGGCCAGCCTGATCCCCAACACACAGGTCAGAGATGTGGGTCCATGCTCACGCCCCACCCCGCAAATACTAGTATGTCACTTGCCACTTCGAGGGCAACACATTCTGGACCCTATGAAGTTTGAGTTGAGAACTTGGAAAAGAGATTGAGGGGGTTGGGATGGAGGTGGGCAGAGGGGTCAGCTGCTGCTCCCAGACTCTGGCAGATCTCATGACAACTCTCAGAACTGCCTGGAGACCTGCCTCCCTATTCACGTTGGAGACTGCTGGTGACAAATGAGCAGCTGCCCAGAAACAGAGACACCGTAAGGACAAGGAAGCTGGGCTCAGGGTAGGCACTTTCACCCTCTAGGGCTAGAGAGACTAGAAAAGGGCCCTATTGCAGCGGAGAAAATAAAGTACAGCTAACAGCATTTACTCTTCCACCCTTTAATCGATACTGACTGGCTCAGTTTGGGGGCATGTGATATTTATTTGTAAGCACACACTGATGAATATCAGATGTCAATAAGTAATTATGAACCCTGGGAAAGAAGAAAAGGCCTATTTCTCAAGCCAACCAGATGAGTATTCGAAAGCCAGTGTTTTTTTTTAAATGGGAGACCTTTGCTCTCATATACGTTATTTTAGAATAAAAATTCTAAATAAATATTATTTTACAAAATAAAAGTGAAGAAATAGGAGATCTAATCCTTCCCTTCTCTGATTCTGACACAGGGTAAATAACTTCACGTCCTGAATTTTATTTAGTTTACTTGTAAATGAAGAAATGGGAATGATGCTGCCTTACATTTCTGAGAACTGTGCTTCTTGAGGGCCCTCCCAACTGTATGATCTGTAATTCTGAGGAATTCATGGGTTCATTATTTAAGGGAAGAAAAATTTTCTTATTATTTTAGAGATAATCCCAGAAAAGAGAAAAGCAAATAGTGAAGCAGATAGTTGAGTCTCTTTATATCTCTACTTATTCAAGGCAAAAAAGGAGAAATAAGAAGCTATAACTCATGGAGTCCATTATAACAACAGATATGCTGAGAAGAAATGCAGTGAGATAAATCAGCACAGTGCCAGGCACATTGTAGGTACACAATAAAAGTTTGTATGAATAGATAGATGAATGAATGAACCAAGACGCCCTGAGTCATGGCTAGCTCACATGACCACTTGGTACAAAGAACATCTCTAGTGAAGGAAGTCACAAAATGTCCTGGGGGACCTTTAAAAAGAAATTAATTATTTACTGCACTGCTTTAGGAGTGGCTCTGTGTGAAGACAGTGGAAAAAGCCATATCAATGTACAGACCAGCTGTATGCATCTCCTGGGGATGTGATTTTCAGGCAGCCAGCCGTCCCTTATCCTCAGATCAGCATTTGGGAACTACTGTTCGATGTATTGTCTTGAGGGCCCTTCCAGGCCAAGGATTCCACAATTTTGTGGAACTTACATGGGGGAGAAGTATCTAGGCAAAAAGAGTTCATTCATCTCACATTTACTGAGAATGTACTGAATGCCAAGTATTGGAAATGTAACTGGATAAGAAAGCATAGTCATGTTGCTATGGTCTCTCACTGAGCACAACCAACCTGACCTCCAGGGAAAACCAATGGAAATCTAGCCCCCCAGCACCCCACCCCATCATCATCCTATAGGACAAGCGGGTAGAGACAGAAGGAGGGAAACATCAACGTGAGAGACACATCCATTGTTGCCTCCTGCACATCCCCCAGCTGGGGATCAAGCCTGCAATGGAGGCATGCACCCTTGACCGGAATCGAACCTGGACCCTTTGGTCTGCAGGCCGACACTCTATCCACTGAGCCAAACCAGTCAGGGCTCTTTTTTTTTTTTTTAAATTTTGGGTTTCAAAGAATAAAAATAATATCTCAGTTGTGTAAAATTGTACATTTAACAAAGTGTTTTATACACAGCATTCACATGATATAACAAGGTACATATGGTTATTATCTTCATTGCATAGGTGAGAAAAACCAAGGTGGAGAAAAGTTTAATTACTTCCCCAGCATGATTTAGCTTATATGTAGGAGGACGAGGAATCCAATCCAGGTTTTGAAACTGCTATTTTAACTATTCCCCAGAGACACTTCCCCTGCGGAGTCTGGCTTAAATGTCTCTGTGAAATTGCTGATATTTTTTCATATTTTCTCTCTACAATAACAACCCCTGCAGCAAGGAGAGTGCCATCTTCTTTAGTAAAATAAAACCTATACCTACAGGGAGAAGGGCAGCTGAAATGATCGGCTTTGATTTCCCCCCAGGATTCATCTTACATTGGTGACATTTTCCAAATTGTGATCCTCAGAACCCTGATCCTACAAAAACATCCCAAAATGAGACTGTTCTGTTGTAGAGAAAAGTTTGAGAAACCCTTCACAACCCTTACCTCACCCTAGAGATGCACACTGCTCTTAAGGTGTTAGAAGTAGTAGTGGATTAAATGTGACCCCACAAAAAGATATATTCCCTTCTTAATCCCTGATCCTGTAAATATTACCTAATATGGTAAAAGTGAGGAAATTAAGAAGCTCAAGAGGAGTTTATCCTGTATTGTCCAGGTGGTATGAGATCACATATATCCTTATAAGAAGGAAGCTGAGGGAGGTTAAACACACACACACACACACACACACACACACGGAGATGCTGTGAAGACCAAGCAGATAGAGGTGTGGAGATGCTGATATTGAAGATTCGGGAGATGTGGGCACAAGTTCAGAAATGTGGACAAGCACCAGAAGCTAAAAAAGGCAAGAAATAGATTCTCCTCTAGAGCTCAGAATGGGACACAGCTCCGCCAACACCTGGATTTCCGCCCAGTGACATTGACTTCAGACTCCTGGCTCCAGAGCTGTGAGAGAATGCAAGCCGCCAAGTTCATGGCAGTTTGTTACAGCAGCCATAGGAAATGTAAAAAACTTTGAGAAGCCTTGCCCAAGTCAACCTGTTATGACATACAACCCAACAATCCTCAAACATCGTTGACCATGATACTCCTTCCCCCATAAGGCTTATTAATATCCAAACAGAACTCACATTATATGCAACCTGCTTCTGAAAATGCTGCCTGAGGGAAATCTTTTGTTAATTACTAGGTCCACCACTCCTCTCCTGAGGACAGGGCTGCTTCTACTTATTGTTCCGACCAAACGTAAGCCAGGAGCCCGACCTGCCAACTCTGTCACAGAGCTAAGACCAGGGGGAATATTTAAATAAGACTTCCTGAAGGCTGGGAATAATAAAAGAGGAAAGCCAAGAGGG